TTTGCCTCTGGGAGATGGAATTATGAAAAACTTTTCTTTGTTTTTATAAATAACTATAAATAAATTACCAAAAAAATAGCTGTAATGTCTCCTAACTGCAGGCAAAATTTATAATGTATAAATAAACAATCAAGGAAAAGAGTTTCAAATTGAGTCTAGTTGAGGACACTAATGAAAACCTTATGAATAACTACGAGGATCTAAAATAACTTTTAAACTAAAATATCACAAAGGGAATCACAATTTCAGAAGGAGCATCAAGTTAAATATCAGTGAAGTCCCCCCTTCGTCCCACCCCAAGGTAACGCTGGAGAAACAAATAAAAGGAAAATGAAAGTCAATCTGGAGAAAGAACCAAAAATAGACTGAACACAAGGAAAAGTAAACCAATTCTTTAAAGCAGCAGATCTCGGTTTGTTTGGTTTTTTCTGCCTCAATACTACTCAGAAGCACAACACATTCCCATCACTTACATCTCTCATTATCTATAATGATTCCTGAAGGGGATAAACATAATCCTAGGTAGAATGTGTGTGAGGTTTCAAAACTGAACCAGATCAAAATTTAGATTATGTCAAGGTCTCCAAATAGGGGCACATAAACTCTACCTCTCCAAATTTAGTAAAGACCCTGAGTAGGAAATTTATGGCTTAAGCTAGAGTCCATTTGAAAGAATTAAGAGAAACCAAATTGTCTCTTTGATATCTTCTTATCTTCTTAGAATAAATATTACTAAGATTTACATCATCAAGAGAGTCTTCTTTAGCCCTAGTCTAGGAACAGGTCCCAGCTAGGCTCCCATACTTCCCTTCTACTTCTATCATTACAACATACTTTAGTCTCACTTTTACTATTTAGTGTCTGCTATCCACTAATTTTAAGCTAAGAGGTGAAGAATAAAGGAAGTAAAATGATATCTATGTAGATTATTGGGAAACAGTGGTTTCATGCACCAGAATTAAGCATACTTTAAAAGGTTAAAGAATATCTGGTATGTTCAAGGAACAAAAACATGGTTAGTGTGGCAGAAGTGGAGCAAATAACATATGAAGGCAAAGAAGAGATCAGAGAGGGGATAAAGAGCCAGATCATGTACAGCCCTACAGGTTTTAGTAAGAACTTAGATTTTTACTTTTAATTGGCTGGGAAACCAAAGGAGGGATTTGAAGTGATGAGTGACATGACTGGACTCACTAAGATTTAGCAAAAATATCCTGGTATTTGTGTTGAGAACACTCAAAGGGCTTAAGGCCAGAGCACAGAAACCAAGTGGCTAGTTACTGCAATAATCCATGTAATATAGGATAGTGGCCTGGAAAGCACTGTGACAGTTGGGTAAGGGGAAAGTAGTAGAATTCTGGACTGTCTTGAAGACGAAGCAGACAATAGCTTAGTTTTGAACTGACAACATGGAGATGCCCGTTAGGCAGCCAAGTGAAGAAATATTAAGTAGACAATTAAATATATTATTTCCTAGAGTTCCGGGAAGAGATCCAGGCTAACCAAATAAATGTGAGAGTCATCAGCATATAAATACAGGTGCAGCACACCAAATCCAAATATCTGAAATGTTCCAAAATACAAAACTTTTTGAGCATCAACATGATGCTCAAAGGAAACGCTCATTGGAGTATTTCAGATTTCAAATGCTCAGAACTAGATGCTCAATCAGTAAGTATAATATAAATATTCCAAAGTCCAAAAAACCCGAAATCTGAAACACGTCAGGTCCCAAGCATTTTGGATAAAGGCTAGGCAACCTGTACTATGATTCTGAAAACCAAGGTGACTGGATAAAATCACCTAGGGTGTGAGTTTAAGCAGAAAAAAGGAGAGGTTCTAACACTGAGGATTGGGACATTTTAACACTTACAAGATATGGAAACTGGGAAGGGCCAGAAAGACACTAAAAAGGGACAGCTAAAAACTGAAGGAAGAAAACCATACAACTGTAGTGCACTGGAAACCACAAAGCGGGGTTACTTGATGAAATAATTCCTCGTAATAGCAGCCTGAGTAATTCCATTCCCCAAATCCTTCCCAGTTTGAGGGTTATACCTCTAGTATGTGTCACAGTAGGCATAAAAATTCCAACTACAAAAAAGTGCTTCAAGAAATAAAAAGTCATCCATGTTGACAAATGTTGAAGGGGAAAAAAGAAAACAATTAAAATTACTGAGATTCCAGAAGCAAAACCTCAATTTCTCAGAAGCAAAACCTCAATTTCTCAACCAACTCATCTTCGACAAAGCCCCCACCACCTACCAATGGGGAGAGGAGAACCTATTCAGTAAATGGTGCTGGGAAAATTGGCTGACTACATGCAGAAGATTGAAACAGGACCCCTATCTATCCCCATGCACAAAGGTTAACTCCAAATGGATCAGAGACCTAAATGTAAAACCTCAAACCATAAGAACCTTAGAAAAGGAAGGAAATACTCTCATGCAAATCGGAACTGGCATCCAATTCCTGTACAAAACCCGAAACCCACAGGACTTAAGAGAGAAGATAGACAAATGGGACCTTATTAAACTGACAAGCTTCTGCAAAGCCAAAGAAACCATCAAGAGAGCATGGAGACAGCCTACAGACTGGGAAAAAGTATTTGCCAACTCTAGGTCTGACAAAGACTTAACATCCTGGATCTACAAGGAACTGAAGCGTACTGAAAAGAAGAAAACAAACAACCCCATTATAAAATGGGCAAAAGACATGAACAGACACTTCACAAAAGAAGACATTCGAGCAGCCAACAAACACATGAAGAAATGCTCAACCTCACTAATCATCAGGGAGATGCAAATCAAAACCACACTGAGATACCACCTAACTCCAGTCAGAATGGCAATTATCAACAACTCAAAAAATAACAGCTGCTGGAGAGGGGTGTGGTGAAAAGGGAACACTTCTACACTGTTGGTGGGAGTGTAAACTAGTGCAACCTCTGTGGAAAGCAGTGTGGCGATTCCTAAAAGCTCTAAAAATTGACCTTCCATATGACCCTGCAATCCCCCTACTGGGAATATACCCTGAAGAACACAAATCACTCTATAAAAAAGATACCTGCACACGTATGTTTATCGCAGCATTGTTCACAATAGCAAGAACCTGGAAACAACCATGCTGCCCATCAAAAGAGGACTGGATTAAAAAAATGTGGTACATATACACGATGGAATACTACGCAGCCATAAAAAAGAACAAAATCATGAATTTCGCTGCAACCTGGATGGAACTAGAGTCTATAATACTGAGTGACCTCTCACAAAAACAAAAATCCGAATATCACATGTTCTCACTCATATAATGGACCTTGAACATCCAATGCAATACTATGAGAAAATGACGGATGGTACTGGGAAACTATGGGGGGGAGGGGGATGGGATTAACAGTAGCAAATATCTGTCGGGGGATGGGAAAACACTTCTTATCTACAGGGTGCCTGAATGAAACGTCATTGTACACCTAACCCTTAACTGTACCCCACAAAACCATAATAAAAAATACTGATTAATGAAAAAATAAATAAATAAATAAATAAATAAATAAAGTTTTAAACAACATACTAGTAAGGTACAACTTTTCCAAATCATTTTAGCAATGGAGATTGGTTTAAAAACAAAGAACTTAGGCACAGTGGCTCACACCTGTAATCCCAGCACTTTGGGAAGCAGAAGCAGGAGGACTGACTGAGCCCAGGGGTTTGATACCAGTCTAGGCAACAGAGAGAGACCTCGTCTCTACAAAAAAATCAAAACATTAGCTGGGTGTGGTGGCACGTGCTTATAGTCCCAGCTACTTGGGAGGCTGACGCAGGAGGATCACTTGAGCCCAGGAATTTCAGCCTGCCAGTGAATCGTGAGAGTGCCACTGTGTTCCTGGGTGACAGAATAAGACCCAAACTAACAACAACAACAACAACAACAACAAAAACTACAGTGGGCAATCCTTGCCACATAAAACAAAAAGGTGGTACTGTTCTAGCTGAAGTGGAGAGGATAGGCTCTATCCTCCTGCTTGGTATCTTCCAAGTCCTTAGGGAAACACGAAGGGAACACAGACTGAAAAACACTGTTCCAGAGCATCATAAAGAAATATGTGTTTAAGGTTTACTTAATGAAGTTATCTATTTCATGTTAATTGTAGATATCAAATTGTCATGGGGTTTTCAAAAGAAGAGTAAGATTAAAAGGAAAAAAAATCAAAATTTCGGGGTTAATATGAATTGTACTCTCCAAGCCTCACCTGTCTCAACCTTTAAGTGGGAATATCATTGCTCTCATATGGTTGATCTATGTATAAACTAAATTACTTATATAAATAACTTAGCACATCACACAAAACATAGAAAGAATTCAATAAAAGTGTTTTTTAAAAATGACTAGCGATAATCATTGCTGCTGAGTCAGTTAGCATACCTAAATAGCTAGGTAAGCTTTCTTGAGGGGCTCCTAAAACAACTATAAAGTAAAATGACTACAGAAAAGAAACACACCAAATAAAGAGAGAAAAATCCTTGGAAAATATTGATTCTGAAAACCTCATCACATTCCCCTTTGGGTTTGTGCAGATTTGTCAATAAATAATGCACAAATTTTATAATGAAAGCCACTTTAGGTCATAAACTGGAATCATACTTGATAAAATAATTCCTCGTAATAGCAGCCTGAGTAATTCCATTCCCCAAATCCTTTCCAGTTTGAGGGCTATACCTCTAGTATGTGTCACAGTAGGCATAAAAATTCCAATTTACAAAAACAATAGCCTACAGAATAAATTTATATCTGTATTATAAATGTTTCAGCTCTAATAACCATTTAAAAAACCACAATTTTGCATCCTGCCAAATCAGGCCATTATGACTTTTTAATTTTAAAGAAACAGATGTAAAAGGGAGTAATAACAAAATGCTGAAATTTGAAAACAATTGAAATCTCTATATCTTTGTAAGTTCCTGCACATAACTTTACATTTTTGCGACAGAATAAAAGCATACTTTTTGGTATGATACACTCTCGGCTGTGTGAACATCTTCCTGACTTCTCAGTACTTTCTGCGTGTCCATGTTGAGAAGCTGAAGCTGCTTGATCAGTTCTGCTTGCTGCACTGTATGTGCACTGTTCTGCTGGTAAAGATTCTGCAGCTCCTGCAGTTCCTTCCTGTGCAAAGCAAGCAATAAATAGAGCAAAGCGTGAATAGAGATCATCTCAGTTAAATAATTGTGTTCACCTAAGGTTATAGATCAGCTTTCTATTTTTCATCTATTATTTTTTACTGCTGGCAAACTTATTAATAAAAGAGATAATATATAAAGTATTTAATATTTATCACATGCACCTAGAAAGTATTGACAGAACTGCTATGATTTTCAAAGCCAAATACTTGTCAATTTTCTTTTATAGCTTGATGGCAATAAAAACCCTGGATATACAGTCACAGAACCACCTTTTTATTGAAATTAAGTTAACACTCCAGTTCCAAGAATTGACAAGTACTGATGCCAACCATCAGAGTTTTTAATACAGGGCAAGTCAAATTTCATTTTTATATTATACAGAACTTTAAATATGTTAAAAAGAATCCCAAAATGCAAATTAAGTTTTCAAACAGCACTGCCAATTCTAGTTTGTAACCTCAGAGTCCTGAGCTGAGATTCCTGTGATCCCTCTAATTCAGCTTGAAGGAAATGATGAGACGAGAAAGTCAGCAGGAAGGAGAGTAAAAGAAGGGAAAACCAACCTTCCAACCTACTCAGAGTGAAATTGGTCAGCAGAAGGACAAATGAACCGTTGGTGGTAACAATGACATTAAGAGTCCAAAGAGAACCACGTCTCTAGGATAGAGGTTTCCAGATTCCTGTGGTAGTGAGTGCTATGTGATATAGACATATAAAACTGGAAATTCTGGTCACAACCCTTGCACTCTTACAGGTATACGTACATATGTAATTTTCCAATAACTATTCAAAAAGCTGAAACTTGCAGAAAATAACAGTCCAAGATGGGAAAGGACAGAGAAGAGAACCAATAATGGCATAATGTCTTCAGGAAATGTAATACAAGAGGAGGGGGAGAGGACCCATAGTAAAAATGTATGCGAGTATTGCCACTTTTCAAGAATAACACCAGCAAAAATTATCAAAACAATAAGCAGTAGTGTAGAAGAAAATTCCATATTTTAAGATATACGTTAGCCAGGAGACCTAAGTAAATGTTGCATTTAGAAAGGAGATGTGATGAAGGTAAAACATACAATCTTTTGACACAATGAAAAGCATGGCAAACTTACTTTTCTTCCAATGTTAGAAGACATTTCCTATTTCTCTGATGTTAGACTCAAGAGGTACGTGTGTAGGTTTGTTACAAAGATATATTGTGTGATGATGAAGTTTGGGCTTCTACTAAGCCCAACCGCAGCTTGTGAGCACGGTACTCAATGGGTGGTTTTTCAACCCTTATCCCCTGCCCTCTCTCTTCCCTTTAGTAGTCCCCAGTGTCTTGTTCTCATCCTTATGACTGTGTGTACCCAGTGTTTAGTTCCCACTTATAAGTGAAAAAATTTGATACTCAGTTTTGTATTTCTGAGATAATTCACTTACAACAATGGCCTCCAGCTACATCCATGTTGCTGCCAAGGACATAATTTCAATCTTTTTTATGGCTGCATAGTATTCCACTATGTATATGTCCCACATTTTCTTATCTACTCCACTCTCAATAGGCACCTGATTTGGATCCATGTCTTTGCTATTGTGAATAGCGCTTTGATAAACAAATGAATACAGGTGTCTTTTTGGTAGAACTATTCATGCTCCTTTGGGAACCTAGTAGTGTGACTGCTGGGTTGAATGGTAAATCTATTATCGGTTTGTTAAGAAATTACCAAACTACTTTCCCCAGGGGTTGCACTAGTTTACATTCCCATTGACAGTGTATGAGCATTCCCTTTTCTTCACAACTTTGTCAATGTCTATTGTTTTTTGACATTTTAATAATAGCCAGTCTGACTGGTATGAAGAAGTAGGGTCAGACTCAGCAGCTGATTTGCATTTAAAGAATAATGTGCAACAAAATATATGTATTTTTAGTCATAAGAAACACAGTGAGAAGCAATGTTATCAGTCCATTTTGCAATGCTATAAAGAAATACCTGAGGCCGGGTAATTTATAAAGGAAAGAGGTTCATTTTGGCTTATGGTTCTGCATGGTACCAGCACCTGCTGGGCTTCTGCTGAGGCTTCAGGAAGCTTACAATCATGGTGGAAGGCAGAGAGAGAGCAGGTATACCACATGGCCAGAGCCAAAGCAAGAGCGGAAGAAGGGGTGCCAGGCTCTTTTAAACAACCAACTCTAGTGTGAACTAACAGAGCAAAAACTCACACATTAGACCACAAGAGTGGCAGCAAGCCCCTCATGATGGATCCACTCTCATGATCCAATCATCTCCCACTAGGCTCCACCTCCAACACTGGGGTTCACATTTCAATATGTGATTTTGAGGGGACAACCATCCAAACTACATCAAGTGGTGAGATGCTAGTCCTTGCCAATTAAAAATCAGTTGAGGGAAAAAGCACATTTTTATCTGCCATCTCATGCTATTTTCTGGGCATACTCTCAGCAAGTGGAATGGAAGCATAACCTTACCTTACATAGATGTTTCTTTCTCTTTGTCTCCCCACATCACCCTCTGAAAAGTAGATGCTATATACACCAACGTTTCAAATATACAAAATGGAACTTGATTAGTATCAAAGTATGCAACAAAAAAGGCTTATAAAACTCATACTTCTGGACCACCAGAAAACACTGAATTTGTCCAGACCTTTCCTCATTTGAAAACAAATAAAGAAAAGCAAACAGGTAATCTTAAGAAGAGAGTAAGGGGAAATAAACTTGAAGAAAAAAGAAATTTCACTGTGTATATGCAGAGGAAATGTACATCTCTGAGTAGGAGTTACTGAAGAACTTAGAAGATAAGTGAAATAGGAAAAATAAGCCATTATACCTCTGTGAAATAGCAATACAAAGCCAAGATGTGAGAGCTTCTCTGTGAAGGCAGGGATTTATTTTTCACTGCTATAAACAGAGTACCTAGGAAGCTCCCATCCTTTAGGAAGTACTTGTTATATCAGATGCATCCTCCCTGGCTCCTAGACCCTTGAGTGCCTTGCTCTGCCTCACCTTCTCTTGAGACCCTTGCTCTGCCTCACTTACTGATTGCCAGATCAGCCTACCAAATTTATACAGCTCCACACAGCTCTGTCACTTGAGGACAACCAGTTGTGTACCTACAATCTTGTCTCCTTGTACCACTTTCATGCCAGAATAAAAAATGCTATAACACAGGGCATGATATGAAGAGCAAACTTGAGCCAATGGAAGACAAATACCAAAGGAAATCAGAAAGATAAATTAACTTCTTCCATCTGATAGACTGCTCTAGGTCATGGTTTCTCTGCCCAGAACCAACTGGGTGGATACTTTAATGCACTTGATATCTTCATGGTTCATTACAAAGCACTGGCCAGGATAACAAGACATTACCTGAAATTTATTTTTGTCATTTCCTGACTCATATTTGTGTTCTTTCACTCACTCTGCATTGGAACTGAATTTCCCAAGTAAGTAATCAGTACTTAATCCCTGACTCAGGTTCTGTATTCTAGGCTATCTGAAAACAGTTGTTGAATTGATTAAGTGAAAAGGATAGCATATTAAAAATTGTTATAAGATTTTTTAAATACCATAATATCATTAAAATCCATAGTGAGAGTCATTACAAGCAAAATCCAAGTGTGAAAAAATAAAATTAATTGTTAGGCTCAAACTTGAGAAGTTATTCTACATACAGATGAAAAGGAAAAAAGGAAAATATGAGGTGAGCTGAAAGGATAGTGAGTATCAACAAACTTCTTCCCATCTCAAGAAAGGCATTAAGTTCTGCAGAAAATGTTTTGCTAAAAGATAATTCTAATGATTTTTCAGTTATAGTGATTATTTTAGTCCTTTTTTGTTGCTTATTACAGAATACATAAAACTGAGTAATTTATAAAGAAAAAGAACTTATTTCTTACAGTTATTCTTACAAAAGTCCAAGATCAAAAGCCCACATCTGGTGAGGGTCTTCTTGCTGATGGGGACTCTGCAGAGTCCTGAGGTAGAATTAGGCATTACAAGGTAATGGGGCTGAGCATGACAGCTTAGGTCTCTCTTCCTCTTCTTAAAAAGCCACTAGTCCTACCTTCATGATAACTCATTAATCCATGAATGGATTAATTCATTCATGAGGGCACTGCCCTCATGACCCGATTGCCTCTTAAAGGCCCCGTCTTCCAATATTGCCACATTGAGGATTAAATTTCAACATGAGCTTTAGATGGAAAAAATATCCAAATGACAGCAGTAATACTATCTAAGGCAGGGGTCCCCAACCCCTGGCCCATGGACAAGTACTGATCTGTATCCTGTTAGAACACAAGACACACAGCAAGATGTGAGCAGGAAGCAAGCAGAGCTCTGTCTTCTGTCAGATTCATGGTAGCATAAGATCCTCACATGAGCGAGAACCCTATTGTGAACTGCACATTGTAGTTACACAAGAGGAGACAAATGCTATAATTCTTGAGACAGAAATTGAGGGGAGTTAAAATGATTGAATTTATGTGCTGAATTGCCAGAGTCAAAACCAACTAAAGATGAAATGCAGTTTTAAACAAACAACAAAATAACATGAACCTCCAGTTTTCCAAGTCAGTTTGTTCTTAGCTTTAGAAAAATTTTAAGAAGTGTTTCTAATAGACAAGAAACTATTATCTGAGATTTAATGATTCCCTCAATTTCATATCAAAGAACCTTACAGCTCTTCTTTATTAAAAAACTGAAGTTATTAGTTACTAAAGAACACTTGCAATATAGTCCCTTTTGCCTAAAAACTTCCATTGACCCAATCGTCAATGTATATCTAGAATGTTGCTCACAAAATTGTAATGGCTGTTATTTCTCTAGGGTTGTGTTTTTAGTGTAATTTTTTTTCCTTTAACATCTTCATACTTTTCTGTACTGGGAGTATTTTTCATATTATTCACATTTATCATTTATCCCAAAATAATTATATCCTCATTTCATTAATTACCATGCAAATGTAAACAGAAGTGAAG